TAATATTAATTAAAAAAATAACTTAAACTATTAATTAATAGAACTTGAATAATAATAAATTAATAACAAAAAATAGGAATAAATATATTTTCTGTTTAATTGAAAGAATTTTGATTATTATTTATCTTATATGAAAAATATTTAATCAAAATATATATATTTCTTCCATACTAAATCTCAAAATAATACAATTAATTATTTGAAATATTTATAAAGAAAGGAACTAAAATTTTTTTAAATTCTAAAATGAAACATTGAAAATTGTATCTATTAAAACTTTAACTTTAAGAAGAAGGATAAATTTTTTAATTTAGTTTAATGTGTAGCTTTGGAAATTTATTGATATAATTATTTGCTATCAAGTTGAATATTATAGAATTCATTCTCCATAATGCAAATGATGATTTTTGAATAATTTTAATTAAAATGATTAGAAACATATATAATATATAATGTTTGTGTTTTCCATGAGGTTAATTAACGTTGTTGTTTTTTGTTGCTAGATCTTTATTGCTAACACTTTAGAATGCCCTTCAATTGAATTAGAAAATAATGAAACATTCATTTCATCAAATCAAAAAGCCATATTATTAGAACGAGAATCCAATGATTTTGAAAACCTAGACGAATTTTCAGATAATTTAGTTAAATTTGCCTTTAAGATTTCAATCAATGAAAGTGAATAAGTTTTATCAGCTAATTTGATTGACAGAACCTTTAATAATTCTAAGTTAATGAAATGGTTGTGTAACCTAATTAAATCTTAATCATATGATATCCTTTGTATTACAAATTTTGGGATTGAATATAAAAATTAAGTTGGAATTTAAGAAATAATGAATTTGAAACTAAGAGTGTAAGTTGAGCCACTTGATGTTTGTTAATGGTTATTTTATAGGTAATTGTCAGATTTTTGGATATTTTGCTATTCTTAGGATAGAATAAAAATATATTCTGTAGACATGATGAACATAACAACATTATTAGCAAGTTAAGATATGAAATAAAATCAAATAAAGCTTTGTAAACGTGATATTATAAAACAATCAGAAGAGCAAATTTTTATTTTTTTTTATGGTTGCTATGAATGGGGGATATTCAAATTTTCAGGCTAAGTCTTTGATCTCTTACTTAATTAAATTATGATTTTCTAATAATTAAATTAAAGTATTCCTTATGTTGAGAATATTTAAATATGCAATAAAATAAAAACTTATTCGCTTTCAACATTTTATCTGATTACAGAGGAGGGTTATTATTTATATAGAGTTGATTATCAAACTGAAAAGAAAATATTCTTTGAATTTTTTGAGTTTTCTTTGAATATCAAGAAACTTATAATATCAAAAGTTTGTGTGGTGAATTTTTTAGTGATCAATCAAGATTTCAATATCTTTATTGTTAACCCATCTAATTCATAATTTATGAATATAGAAAGTAGTAGTCTTATTTAAGTGCATCAAACTTCAAATCTAATATTTATATTAAATACAAATGGATTAGAAGTTATCTTAAATTAGAAGATTAGATAAACAAAATAAATTTATGCATAACAGTTGTTCTTTTTAGAAGGATATAATTTCTTTTATCAAATAGAGGAATTCTAACACGAAATATACTTTTATACTTATTAAGAATTTAATTCATACTTAATACCTTCCAAAAAGTATATTTTTGAATTATTCTCTTATGATATATTTAAAATCTCTAAATCATTTTGTTACAAAGTTCAATATAAGAATTCAAATGATATAAATACAATAATAAATGATATTGAATTATAAAATAAATGCTAAATACATGAGTAAGTTTAATTTAATAAGCAAAATATTGCTTTGCCTTAACATTACTAATTATAATTGCTAAATGACAATGCAAATTCCATAATTAATATCACTGAGTCTTTTGATTTCAAGAAAATTTGCATTAAACAATACTTTCAGAAAAAAACAGTACTACTATATTTTGAGAATAATTAAGTTTTGCTGAAAAATAATGAATTTATTATTATTCAAGATTGTGACAATTATAATAGAAAAACTATAAGTATTCGTTCTTTTTAAGTATTTCATTATTAATTTAACATTTTGCTTGTTAGAGAATATGATCTATATTATAAGATTTTTTACTAATAAAAACAATAATGGCTAGTTTAGAAAATTTCAACCTCAAGCTAAATTATTAAAGTTATGTAGTTTTAAGAAAGTGTTTTGGTATTGACTGAAAACGCTGATTGCATCTTTATCAATCTTAATGATATAAGATCTTAGAAACTTTCTAAAAGTTTGAGTAATATGTTATATTAAATTTTTTATTAAAGAAAAGCATCCAATTAAATCAATGAAAGTGAATATTAATTTTTTTATTCTAATTAAAAAGGTTATATTTGCATTTCATTTTTTGGGTATTTTCTTATTTATGATTAAAATGATGATTTCCTTAGATTGTTAACTTTAAATAATATTGAAATACTCTCAATTTAAAGATTGATAACTAACGTTTTTTAAATATTGGCAATATAGTTAGGATTAATAAATACATTTTACATCGAATGGAAAANATAATATCAAAAGTTTGTGTGGTGAATTTTTTAGTGATCAATCAAGATTTCAATATCTTTATTGTTAACCCATCTAATTCATAATTTATGAATATAGAAAGTAGTAGTCTTATTTAAGTGCATCAAACTTCAAATCTAATATTTATATTAAATACAAATGGATTAGAAGTTATCTTAAATTAGAAGATTAGATAAACAAAATAAATTTATGCATAACAGTTGTTCTTTTTAGAAGGATATAATTTCTTTTATCAAATAGAGGAATTCTAACACGAAATATACTTTTATACTTATTAAGAATTTAATTCATACTTAATACCTTCCAAAAAGTATATTTTTGAATTATTCTCTTATGATATATTTAAAATCTCTAAATCATTTTGTTACAAAGTTCAATATAAGAATTCAAATGATATAAATACAATAATAAATGATATTGAATTATAAAATAAATGCTAAATACATGAGTAAGTTTAATTTAATAAGCAAAATATTGCTTTGCCTTAACATTACTAATTATAATTGCTAAATGACAATGCAAATTCCATAATTAATATCACTGAGTCTTTTGATTTCAAGAAAATTTGCATTAAACAATACTTTCAGAAAAAAACAGTACTACTATATTTTGAGAATAATTAAGTTTTGCTGAAAAATAATGAATTTATTATTATTCAAGATTGTGACAATTATAATAGAAAAACTATAAGTATTCGTTCTTTTTAAGTATTTCATTATTAATTTAACATTTTGCTTGTTAGAGAATATGATCTATATTATAAGATTTTTTACTAATAAAAACAATAATGGCTAGTTTAGAAAATTTCAACCTCAAGCTAAATTATTAAAGTTATGTAGTTTTAAGAAAGTGTTTTGGTATTGACTGAAAACGCTGATTGCATCTTTATCAATCTTAATGATATAAGATCTTAGAAACTTTCTAAAAGTTTGAGTAATATGTTATATTAAATTTTTTATTAAAGAAAAGCATCCAATTAAATCAATGAAAGTGAATATTAATTTTTTTATTCTAATTAAAAAGGTTATATTTGCATTTCATTTTTTGGGTATTTTCTTATTTATGATTAAAATGATGATTTCCTTAGATTGTTAACTTTAAATAATATTGAAATACTCTCAATTTAAAGATTGATAACTAACGTTTTTTAAATATTGGCAATACATCGAATGGAAAATATGATAATTCAATATTGTTTTACAGGTTCTTAAAAGCTAAATTTATAATATAATTATACCTTAAATAACACAGAAATAGTCAAACCATTAAAATTTTAGATTGAAAAGTAATTGATAGCGTAAATTTACTATAGATTATTAATAATTTTAGTTAAAACAAATTCATCATATTAGCTTTAGTTGTTTAGTTTGAGTAAAACAAAGACATTTAAATTGATAAAAATTATTCAAATAGGAAGACCAGAATTTTTTATTATGAATCAGATACTATATTATTATGAAGAAAATTTAGAAATAAAAGGATATCATCTATTTTCAATAACTATATAGTTTGAAAATTAATTAATAGCATAAAAAAATGCTTTTCATAATTTATAACTTGCATTTAATTTAGTCTCCAAAGATGGTGATGACAAAGTAATTAATTGTGTCATAAATTTGAATTATTATAATTTTTGTTAGAAAATATTTCCTATTGATAATGAAATTAAAATCTATTTAAGAAAGTAAACAAAATAAATATTAAGAATATCAGATCTATTTATCGGTCCAATAGATTAGGTATTTATAAAAAACAATTCAAAAATAGAAATTAAAGGATTGTAGTAAAAAAATGAGCCTGTGTAATTGTGTCAGCAATTCAAGTAAATGGATTGTATAATACAGGTTTAAGTTGATACAAATTTATTCTCAAATTAAAAAAAATAGTTTTATCTCTATATACTCAAGCACAAGAAAATTAAGACCCTTTTACCAATAAATCCTGATATTAGTAGGGAGTTAAAACTTTTAAATTTATTTCTGATAAATAAATGGTAATTAGCTTTTATCCTAGAAATTGAATAAAAAGTAATTATAAAAGTATATTAAATTAATACTGAAACATTTACTTTACCTCAAAATAAGATTTTCGAATATGATTCAAATTGTACTTCTACCAATTTGAACCTCTATCAAGTAGAGGATATAATCCAGTTATAATTTTAATTTGAAGATATTTTATTTTTTACACCAACATTTAAAATTATAAAATAAAATCAGAAACCTTATTAATAAGAAATTATATTTGTTTAAGATTCTAATTAATTATATGTTTAAGTTTAAATACAAAATTAAGATTTTATAATAAAAATATTTTAGTATTATTCAAATAATAAATTTATAAAAATTAATCAAATCTTAATACCATATTACACCTTTTATTAAGAACTACTCAAACACTTTAATAATTAATTCACTTCAAAAGAATCAACTCCAAAAAATTATTCACTTAAATCCATAAAAAAAGGTGAAACCATAACTTTATTAGTGCTATTGATGTTTAAGCATTATTCACTAATTATTGATATCAAATTTGGAGAAAGCAGTTCCATTATTGATCTTAAAATTAAAAATATTTTAAGGAATCCTGATGCATTTATAGAACAATATAAAGTAGGTTATAAATCAAACATTTTATTCCTGTCATCAGATTTATAAAATCATTATTTTTATGACCTTACCCATAAAGAAGGTTTATATAATTATTAACATTTAAAATCAAACAAATCAATTTTAATATATCCTGTCAATAATACTCATTTGATATTTTATGATTAATATTCTAGTATTACAATTGGTTAATTACATTATGAAATTTAATTACATGATATACATATAAAAAAATAAACATGCATCTTGATTGCAGAAAATAGTTTATCAAAATCTGAAATCTAAATAACAATTATAAGAGAAACTGAATAGTACCATCATATGATAATCATTATTATAATAATCATCACTTTTTTGATATTGATCTGCTTTATTAAAATTATAAGATAAAAGGACAAGAATTTAAATATCTCAATTGAACTAAAAATTTCAAAAATCTGATTATGATAATGATTATTGATAAAATATAAATATCAATCGTTTTATTTACTTAAAAATATTATTACTAAGTTATGAGATATACTCAATTATGAAAGATTATATTTCAAATTTCATTTAAATTATTATTTTTGAAAGAAAATAATCAATTATTTTAATTAATAATCTTAATTTATAAAATTTCATTATTATCTGTTTTTAATATATATAATTTTATAATATTTTCATAACCTAAATGTTTTACATAATTCAGATATAAGATTTTTAAGTATCTAGAATTAATTTGAACAAATTTGTTTAATTAAATACCAGCTAAATCTATTGAATAATTTATTATGTTTAATTATTTTAAATCTAATAAAAACTAAATACCATTTTTAGTCAATATATTAACAAAATTAGCTAAAAGAAATATCAATATGAGATCAATCATCTCCAAAGTAGTGCTACAATTTTTTATTTTTACGACAACCTTGAAATTTTAAAGTTTGCTTCTGTCAAAAATCTTTAATTGAAATTTTTTTAGATTGAGTTCTGCAGATGAAAACAAATTTCTAAATTTTTGTTCACCATTTTTACAATATTTTTTTATATTAAAATAACAAAAAGATTAACTATTTAGTAAAATCCTAAAAAGGCTTATAATAACAATCCTACTTGACCGTTTTAATTTATTCAAATATATATTTACTTTTTTAATGAAACATAATCTGATATTTATTAAGAATTATCATCTGTAGTCTTTCCATTAACTAATGTAAAGGAAAAAAAATTTATTTTGGATTTCAAACAAAATTATTATTACTGAAATTTTTTCTCTCAAATTTTCAACAAAAATTTCATTATAATGACGAATATATTGTCTATTTCATTTATATCGATAAAACAAAGTTAAATTTTAATATTTTTCTTCTATTTTGATAATCGTAAATATATATTTAAACTCAATTACTTTTTGTTGATTGTGTTTGTAAAATAATAAATATTTAGAAAATAATACCTTTTTGAAAAAACAATTTTTAATGAATATAAAAGTAATTTTAATCCTTGAATTTCTTAATATAAATTTTTGAATAAATTTTTTAATCTAAAAAATTATATTTATTCTGAGTATTTTATTTGATTGCATAATTATGAGCATCAAATGCTTATTCAATTATCAATTGAATGTTGAAACACGAAATTTACTAATAAAAAAGAGATATTTGATAATTTTCTTAGAAAATTCTCTTTCATAAAATAAACTAAAAGAAGTATAAAATATTATTAAATTTTGATGATCAAAAAGTTTGTCTATATCTTGTTGATATACAAAAAGACAAGTGATTCAAAAATTAACAGATAAAATATTAAAAATAACAGAAATTAATTCTTTATGAAATCTGCTAAAGCTCAAAACTAACTTTTTATTTTTACTTATATATTAAATAAGTGAAATATTTAAATTGGGATGGTAAATATGGAAGCAATAATGAAAAAGTTGGGTAATGGAGAGCTTTTTGGAAAGATAATTTATTAAATGTTGGAGGTATATATGATGAGAATGGATTAAAGTAAGGAAGTTGGATAGATATTGGATTTGAATACTGGAAGTAAGTTAATATATAGAATAAGTGAATGTTAAACAACTTATGTTGGATCTTACAAAGATGGGAAAAAAATTGGTAAATGGAATATTTTATTTGAAAACTAAATTTAGTATGAAATTTCTTAATACTTTAGTGGTGGAGGTTAATATGATGAAAAAAGTAATTTAAAAATTGGATAATGGATTGAATTATATGAGAATTTTTGGAAGTAATTCTATTAATTCATACTATAATAGTTAATGTCAAGTTACTAAAATTGGAGAATATAAAAATGGAAATAGGGTAGGAAGATGGGATTTTTTATTTGAAAATAACATTCTGTAAATTTTTTAATTTATATCTTAGGGGTGGAGGAGTTTATGAATCTGGTGTTAAAATTGGTAAATGGGTAGATTTGTATTAAGATTTTTAAAAGTATCAAATAATAATAATGAAGTTGTTGCTAAGTAATATAAAAAGGAGAATATTAAAATGGAATTAGATATGGTGAATGGGAAACATTATTTAGAGAATATTCAAATGAAGAATTTAAAATAATGTTTTTTATGTTATAAAATATCATTTAGTGGATTAGAAACATATGATTAGGAATAAGGAATTAATAAAGTTGATTTACATAGAAATTTCAATTTGTAATAATTTAATTAATAATAACAAAAAAGATGGTGTTAAGTAATATCTAAAGGAGTTTTTAAATAAGACAAAAGATATGGAAATTGGGATATCTTATATAGATATAGTTCTAAACATTAATTTGAAACAATGTACATTTATAATAAAAATGTAAATAAAGAGGAGGAGGATTGTATGATATGAAAAATGGGGAAAAGAATGGGAAATGGATTGAATTACATGAACATTTTAAGACAGAGTAATTAATATTTACTAATATCTTAAGTCTATGTGAGATTATTTATTTAGGAGAATATATAGATGGAAGAAAAGCGGGCAGATGGAACATTAAATTTAGAGTTGATAGTGATTAAGATTTTGAAACAATGTATATTTCTAATAGATTTTTAGTGGGGGAGGATTATATGATGATTTAAATGGTTAGAAAATTGGCGAATGGATTGATTTACATGAGAATTATGACAGAGAGTATCAATTTTCATTTAAAATATATTAAAGTTGGTGTTAAATTAAGTATAAAGGTATTTATAAAAATGGAATTAAAAATGGAAAATGGGATATTCATTTTAGAGTAGCTGTCGATGAAGAATTCATTGTTATGTAAATTATGTATTACAATATAAAAAAGTGGAGGAGGTCATTATAATGGAAATAATGGGTTGAAGCAAGGAGAATGGTTAGACTTACATCCAAATTTTAGTTGGTATAATTTCATATTAATATAGCCATAATTAGATAATGCTGAAAGGACAATATTAGAATGGGGAATGTTAAGGAAATTTCACAGAATTAAAATTAGAATGAATGTAATATCTTTTATTATTAAAATAATAAATAATTATTAATTGTTTTTTTAATTATATACATATATATATATTTAATTAATGCTAATTCTAAAATATCATACTATTTTATATCATAATCTTGATATCAACTATTAATTTTATTTAATCCCTTAATGATATGTTATAAAATGTATCTTCATATTCCAACTAACAATTAATAAATATTTATACTCAAAAAAACTATCATCTGTTTCAATCCATTCTCCATTCTTCAAACCTATTTGATTGTAATGTCCTCCACCACTAAATTATCTTTAAAATAACTTACAATGCATTTCCTTAATACAATATAAACCACCTTCCTTTTTTTTTACCGTTCTAAAATTCACCAGCATATGTTAACTGGCAAAATCTAGTTTATTAAAAATTAGAAACCTTTGAAAGTTATCTTGAATTTCTATTCTTTTTCCATCTTTTAGACCTTATTCATTATATGAACCTCCTCCTCTAAAAATAAGTAATATTAATATTTACATGAGATCTTCTTTATATAATATATACCAATTTCCTTTCTGTTTTCCATTAAAATATTAACCACTGTAAGTAATTTATCTAAATCTATAATTATTTTTATTAAGAATACGATTAATAATCATCATCCAAGTCTATCCATTTTCCATGTTTTAATCCCTATTCATTATATAATCCTCCTCCTCTTTATAATAATTTAATATATGCTTACAATGTTTAACTTTTCTTATATGATTTCCACTTTCCAATTTTTTGACCTTGATTATAAATTCCCTCAAATAATATTTCCTTTAAACTATATTAGTTAATAAATAAACCTATAGAAATTTTAGATAGGTTCTATCCATTTCCCTTTTTTTGTCCAATCAAAATCATATTAACCTCCACCTCTAGGTTAATATAGAATATGAAATAAAACATGATTTATCCTTTATAATTAATTTCCCATTGCCCATATTTTTTCCCATTTTAATAAATTCCTGCTTTAGTTATCTGTTTTGAACTAGAGAATTGATTAATATAAATTCTTGCTTATGATAATGGTCATCCAAATCTATCCATTTTCCAATTTTCTAACCAATATAATTATATTCTCCTTAACCTCTGAATTTATATAGATTTTTCTTACATAATTATTCTAAAACGAATAGAATCCCATTTACCATACTTTACACCATTTTAATATTCCCCAACATATGTAACTTATTTAATACTAATAAAATAGAAAAAAAAAATGATTTACTTGCAAAAACTACCATCCAAATCCTACCATTTACCAATTTTTAATCCATCATCATTATATTAGCCACCACCTCTAAAATTTATAAAAATGATTACATAATATTTCCAAATCTCATGATGTCCCATTATCCATATTTTTTTCCATTTTCATATTTTCCAACATAAATCACTTATTTATATCTAATATACTATATATAGATACTCTCTAAATTATTGATCCAACTCAATCCAATTACCAATCTTTAACCCATTCTCGTTATATTATCCCTCTCCACTAAATTCAATAATATGAATACATTTTCTCTCCTTTGTTAATAGTTATCCATTTTCCTGATTTTATACCATTGTAATATACACCTTTGCATAAGACATCAATATATCTAATGATAATATCATTATAACCTTTTCGAATTATCATAAAACTCTATCCATTCTCCATTTTTAAAACCTTCATCATTATAAGACCCACCACCACTAATTTATTTTTAATTATTACATTATCTATCCTCTATAAACATAATTCCATTATCCAACTCTAATTCCATTTAAATAACTTCCAGCTTCAGTAATATTATTCCTTCTAAAGTAATACTTATAATTAATTTACTAATTAAAATTGTTAATAACGTCTATCCATTTACCATTTTTCATACCATAGACATCAAAATTACCACCACCACTTAGATTAATTTAATTTTTACATAATATTCCCATTTTTAATAGTAATCCAATTTCCTTTTTTAATTCCTTTTGCATATTCTCCAACATAAATAACATTATTGTACATACTATAAATTTATCTATTCAATTACTCACAAATTTAATCATCAATATCTGTCCATTTATCATTTTTCAATCCATTTTCATCGTATTAACCTCCTCCACTAATAAGATTATAAATAATATAATATAACATGATTTCCCTCTAAAAAATTGTATTCCATAATCCTTATTTTTTGTCATTTTTATAAACACCTGAATATGTTATTTAATTCCAACTTTAAATACTAATAATTAAAAACTCATTGAAATTGATATGTAAATCAGTCCAACTTCCATTTCTTTATTCATTCTCATCATATAATCCACCACCGCTATAGTTATTAAATAAATTATACGTTAACTAACCATTATATAATGTTTACCAAAAACCTTATTTTTTTCCATTTTTATAATTTCCTAAATGGTAAACTTGACAATAACTAATATAAATTAATGAAAATAAAAATAAACTCGCAAAAATTTTGATCTAATTCAACCCATTATCCTATTTTATATTCAAATTCATCATAATTTCCTCCAGCTTATAATCTTTCTCCTTTCCAAAATGCAATCCATTCGCCTATTTTCTAATTATTTTTTCCATAATTTCCTTCCCAACTCAAATATTATATTTGTTCAAGATGTTCAATATTTTAGTGTTAATTATCAGTCCCATAACTTTTTTACCTAAAAATAATATGTAAAATATTAAAAACTTTCTTAAAATTTAGCCATTATATATGATTGTCTAAATTCCATTTTTAGAATATTCAATTTACACTTAGACAATCCCAAAAAATTAACTGTACTTATATGGATCATAATATGCTAATTTTCCTTACAATTCAAAAATCCTTTTTTCCTCAATAAAATTTTATGGATTTCTGTTATGTTATTTAAGTTGGTTTTGTTAATATTTATATTATTTGAAAGGTGACTACAAAATGATGTTTTTCATTTTTTTTAGAATATAATTTCAAAATAAATATCTGAATATAGATTGATAATTTATTTAGAATGAAATAAAAAAATACACATATAGATTATATATTTCTATATATCTGATGATTACTTAAACTGCAAATATTAATAAGTTTATCAATTTGAATCGAAATAATATAAAAGTTAATAAATTCTTTTAGATTATTATTTGAAATTAAATGGAAAATAAATTTAATTATTGAAAAATATTCAATAAATATTCATATATTCTTGTCATTTTAAAAAGATACTGGATATATATATTATTGTTTATAAAAAATATGTTAACTGTCAAGAATTTCCTAAAAAGTATTTGATAAGTGATAAAATGAATGTTCATATTTAATTCATTAATAATTAAAAGTTTATATAAATATTATTAAAACTCAGTATTTACTCATGAATTTAACTTAAATCTCAAAAAATAACATTTACAATGTATTTATAATAAATATTATATATAAACAGTTGTATAAAAACAATTTATTACTTTCAATTTTATCTAATCAACTTATGCACTCAAGTATTTACAATTCATTTTTAAATTAATAATTCTTTAATTATAATGTAATAATTTCATATTAAAATTGAAAAGTTGAGTATTAAATATTATAATAATTATTCTTAATAATGATGAAATCTGAATTGTAATCATAATTTATTCCCTTAACTTATCAATCTCAACCTTAATACACATATTAGTAAAAAGATCTCTGCAATGCTATTGCAATCAATCACAATAATACTATTTTGGTAGTTGCAGCAGATAAGCATCTTAATTTTTAATTTTAAAGATCATAAATAAAAGTTATGGAAATAATTTACTCTAATACAAGTACCATAATCAATCTTAACTAAATTCAAATTATATAAGATCAGCATTTTGGTTTCATAAACACACTCAATTTCTTTAAGAAAAATCCCTTCATGCTTGATAACTTCATATCGGGTTCTTAAGATAATCAGATTATTATTTGGTAATTAGAAATTGTTGAATCTTCAAAATTCTGGATACCAATATTCAAATTAAAAGAACACTCATCTTCTATTAATTGTTTAGTTCTTAGACCTTTTAATGAAGATTTAATTATTAGTGCTTGTGATAAAAAAATAAAATTTTGGTCATTATCAAATTACTAATTTTTATCGCCTTTAATTTATTAAGGTTGGGAATGTTTTTAAACAATCAAAGAGCATAAGAGTTATGTTTTTGGATTATCTATTAATTAGGAGGGAAATAGAGTAGTTTCATGTGGGTATGACAAGTAAATTCTTATTATTGAAGAATCAAATAGAATAAAATGGTATATGAAATAAAAGATTTAAACTTATAACATTGGATTTAGAATTTGTTTCATAATAAACAACTTGTTTGCTTATTAATCATTAGGTATAAATTTATAATTATTTAAATTTAATGAGAAAAATGAGAAATTTTAAAAAATTAAGGAAATTCCAGTTAAAGGAGGAAATTGTTTTTGTTCTCCTTACTTTCCTTCCAGCTATATCAATACGCAAAATTTATTTGTTACAAAGAATGGTTATCATTTGAATTTTATAAGATTTATTTATTCACATAATTAATCTCAAGATTTTTAATGCTCATTAGAATCATCTATAGAGTTTGATTAAAAAGGATATTGGGGGTATATTTATGGTACACTTAGTGAAGATGGAAAGCTTTTAATAACATGGGACTTTATTTCAGAACAAATCTAGTTCAGAACTCAAATGATTAAGAATTGAATGAAATTATAATTTAAATTAAGTTGAACATATATTCTTATATCTCGTAATTCTTTTATATATTATTTTATACTTATTCACTCAAATAATATAAAAGTCAATTTCATATTTTTAATTTGTGTTAGGTTGATGTATGTTAAATTGAAAATAAATTAAAAAATAACATTAACATCAACATGATATATTTTAATTAATTGAAAAACTAATTTTCGCAATAGATTTTGAATAATTTATTTGCTTATTCTTAAATTAATATTTAATACTATTTCCAGATATGGAGAAATTTATTGGGTTTAAATGTTCTCTCTTTTCTTCAATTATTATTATAATTGTTTGATCATATTATTAGGATATCTAAAATTCTTTTATTTTAAACCTTGATAATGGTTTTGAAGAAGAATATAATAATAATCAATTCAATCAGAAAACATATATGATTAATAAAACTTGTTTTTAGTATATTTTATTTTAGGTAAAGTATCATAAAAGACATGATTATTCATAAAAATAAAAATAACAATTATAGTATTAAAAAATACATTTATTGAAATCTTGATATATTTAAAATATAAGTTATTATTTTTAATGATAAAATTTATGCAATAAATTACAAGTCTTTAATGTTAAGAACATTTTGAAAAAATATAATTTTTAGATTTAAGATAAAAAATATTAAAAGGAGAAAGAGCTAAATGTTGTAAATGCTAATTATCCAATCCCATTTATATTGAAGCAGCTTTTGAATAATGGATTTAAAAAAAACAAAACGAAATTCAATAAGTATAGAATGATTATTTGAGTTACATTAATCCACTCAAATAATTTTATGAATAGATGAAATAAATAAAAAAATCATTCTATTCAAGTTGTGAGCATATTATGAATCAAATAGACTAATTAATTAATGGATTAAATTTTGATAAAATATCAAGGATTCAAGATTTACAATTATTTGATGAAAATATAACATTATCAACTCTATAAGAGATGGCTTAATTAATGAGTGAAAAGGCTCCAATACTTAAAAAATCCAAAACAGATATAAATCTTTTAGTTAAATTGAGGCTTTTAAATGATTTTATCAAATAAGAAATGAATTAATAAAATAACTTTGTAATTAAAATTCTTAAATAACAGCAATAAGCAAAAGAAGTAATTGAAAATTTTAAAGAATAATATCTTCAAAATATTAAAAAATATGAATTTAAAGAAATTAAAAATATTTATAATATTAAATAATATGAAATTTGTAGAGTTGTTACTTTTAATAAAGATGATAGTATTACAATAACATTTAATTTACTTATAATTTGCAATTTCAAATTAAATTACAGATTAAATACCTTATATCTCACTTTTAAAATTTGAATTAATAATGCCTACATCATAATTCCTTCATTTAATAGTTAATTGATAATCAGCTTATATCCAATTATTTTTAAGAGTTAAATCACAATTTAGATATGTGAAGCTCAAATAAAAACGTCAATTGACTATAAGGAGGAAATAATTAAAAATTAAAATTTTCATTTTTACTACTAAATAATTGAAAAGAAAATTCAGAAGATATTAGAATAAAGTTAAAAAGATGATGATGATGATGATTATGTGAAAAATAGATGATTACGATTTTATATTAAGTATTTTAACATTCAACTCTCTAAAAATTGAAATAATGAAATAATATTATTATGAAAATATAAACAATTTAAAATCTCTTTTTTGTTAAAATAAGTTATATTGTTTAAATAAATGAAATAAAAAAAAATCAATTTCCAATTTTAAGATGATCAAAATTTTATTTTTTATTGTGTAAATAAATCACAATTTTTAATTTATATAACAAATACGTTTCAAATTTTTAGGATTATTTACTTTTTTATTTTCTAAATTCAATTATTTTTAATAATTTTGTTCACATTTCTATTTAATACCATAAATATTGTTTAAGATAATGCATAATTAAAATTTTACCTTAAAATTCTAAAACATCCAAAAGATAATATCATTAAATAGGATTTTTTTTTATAGCTATGATTTAAAAATAATAATTAATTTGAAAAATTAAGGGTATTAGGCAAATATCCAAATATTTACTTTTTTGAATCTTCTTGTAAGAACAATCTTCATTTTATAATCTAAATGAAAAAATTTAATATCTAAAGTGTAATAGCAAATTCTAAATATAGGATCCTGTCTAAATAGAGTCTAAGATCCTTTCTAGTAATTAAATATTCCCTAAGTTAATTTTTGCACAATGATAGATTATTTTAAATTTAATTCATAATATTAGATAGATATTAAAGTAAATAATTATAATTCTTATGTGAAAAAATATAAACTTTATTCTCATTGGTATTTCAATTCGTAAACATGAAATGATAAAGTTTAATCATTCCAAACTATTAAATAGTTTCCATCTTCGGTAATATTTCCATAATTTTTGCAAGATCTACAATCAATTGGTTCGATTTAAACATTAAATGATTAATTTTGATAGCTCAAGATATTAACATATTTGTTATGCTTTATTATAAATATTTACTTAGCTTTATTATAAATAGAAGGAAATAAGGATTATCCATCTTTTAAGTCTAAATTCTTTAAGTTAATTTGCAACTCTTTTTTGTCTACAAATTTTTCTACTTCTTATTTATATATATGAATAGAACCCTAATTTTCTTGGCACCAAGCAATTGTATCTTTATTTAAAAAACAAACTCTAAATCCATTGTCATTTTTCAGATTTTCTAAAACTTACTTAAACTTAAATCTTCTTTCATTTGCTTTCTTTTCCCAAACTATTATTGTTTTATCATCACTACATGAGACTAATTGTGTTTCATCTTCATTCATACTCATCTAACCAATATGTTTACTATGCTTATTAAGCTAATAATGAAACATCAATTAATTCTTATCTGTATTTAAAGTCCAAACCTTGATTGATCCATTAGAATGACCAGAAAATATTAAATTTTCACTTTAATTTAATAATAAACACCATACAATTGACTAAGTGTCACAAGGTTATGATGGTTCCCAATAAATTGAATTAATCATCTTTTTCCATCCTATAATCTTACAATCTATACTTCCAGTTATAAACCAATTCATCTTTTTACTAAAAATAATACAAGTGACATCTAAATTATGACCTTTTAAGGTTACTCCTGAATCTCTTAATTATCCTTTTTCAAAATTCCAAATTTTTATATCTTTTTTAGATGCTCCAGCCATTATTGAACCTTATTTATTGAATGCAAGGGCAAAACACCATTATTCTTAATACACTTCTTAAATTTAATGATAAGTTATCTCTCTTTATGGAGGACGCTTGTCAAAAATAGATCCAATAGGACACTCTATGGGATTTACTTATACTTTTTTTATTGGTTTAAGTTCTTCATAATATATGGTTTCTTCCAAAACATTCTTTAAGTTATCTGTTTCTTTTTCTATTATATTTATAATTTATTTGATTATAGAAACAGAACTTACTAATTTATTTTAGTAATTTTTATTTATTTTATTTATTCTCTCTGCTTCTAAATATAATTATTCTTCATCCCATGAATCTTCATTATTTTTATTTAGTTCATCTTTACATTAATGTGAATTCACTATTACAATGTCCACAACTTTTATTAGGTTTTCTTTTAATTTATATAAGTATTTGGTAAATTAATCAATTTCATAAATGTTTTATTTTCTTAAAGTATTAATTTAGTTACTCAACTTCTCCTAAATATAATTAAAATTCTATACTAATTCATCATTTAAGGTTATATTTTAGTTTCCTTTATGTTCTTCTAAGCAATCAGCACAAATCAATCTTTCTTTTAACTTGAATTTTTATTTATCAAGCACCATTAGAACTGAACAATCCTTATGTTTAAAAACACATTCCATTGAGTTAACATCTTTAATCATTTGTGATTCTTAATTAAAGAAATCAATATCATCTTCTATGCCTGATTTTATCAATAAAATTCCTGATATTAATTAGTTCCTAATTTATGGAAAATTTCAATAAATTATTAAAATGGCTTAATCATTAATATAAATTAAAATCAATTCTATAGAATTAGCTTAATAATAATATCATCAAAATGATTATCAAAAACTTAAATAATTGAAGAGGTTCATATTAATTAATTTATGAAATTTAAGTATAAGTATTTCTTTTACTAAGAAGTTGTTAAGATTTGTATTATTATAAATATTAGCTACTATTTAACTTTAATTTCTAATTTATGGAATCAGATTCTATTATATGAAAATTCGAATTCATTTAAATTAGGCTTATAAAAAACATCAGATATTTCTTGATGAATCAAAAAATATTTAATGTTAAATTCAAATTATTCATTCAAAAAATCAGATTATGTCTAAGTCAGTTAATTTACATTATTATTATGAAAATTAAAATTAAGATTAGAAGAATCATGTTGTGAAAGCTTATCTTAGTGTTCTCCTTCTTATACATTATTTTTTTGGTAATATTCTTCAACTTCTCTTGATGAAAATGTCATATCGTTTAATTCATTATTTATGTTATAAAAAATCACATTCGCTCCCCAATCATTAAAAAAATTTATTAACAAGAAGAAGCCAAAAAGACAAGTTATAATTTGAATTTTAAGGAATTTTCTTGTTAAAAATAAATTAAAAGATTTATTTCAATTATAGAAAAGTTTGATTTCACAGAATTTCAAATAAAAAATATATTTCAAATAATAAGAGATAATGCAAATTTAAAAAAAATGAAGATATAAAATTATGGTTATATTTTGATTTAGAAATGGTTAAATTATCATTCATTTAGAAAATGTTAAATAGGATATTAAAATATTAATGAAGTAGTTAAGTAAATTACTTAGTTTTTAACATACTTTAAAGGAATGTCATTTTTATGAATTCATTCTTCATAAACTTAAATTTTTTTCAATAAATTTAAACATCAATATTAATTAATATTATAATAAAAATTGATTTACAGATCAGAATAATTGAATTTGTATTATTTACAAGAAATTAATAATAAAAGGTTATTTGTGTTTTGGGTAAATGGGAAAAAAGAAAACATGGATGTCAATCTAGACTTTTAGATTATAGAATATGTAATTTTGACAAGAGATATAGTTATTATCTAACTTACACTTTTAAGAATAATAAATATATTTATTATTGGAATGAAAAAATTCTTAATTTTAAAATTTTTATCCCATCCAGAATTTATTAAGATGTATTAATAAATTGTTAGAATAGGAAATATTGAATTAATAGAAAATGAGATAAGGATAGATTATTTTGGATCATTATATTATTATTATTTAATATTCATATTAATAAATAAGAATTATGAACAAAGCTATAAATACTATTGAAAAAGTAGATATATTTGGTGTTCCTATTTGCCTTCTATCTAATACAAATAACTAAAGATATCAAAGCAAGTTTGGTGGGATAATAACTATTTTGTTAAGTGGATTAAGTTTAGTTTATTTTGTATATGTGATTGCTCTATGGATCAATAATTAGATAGCACCTAATATAAGCTCAAAGTAAAGGACCATAGGTTATGCTGAATTTTAATTGTAGGAATCTATGATTGAACTGACATTAGAAGATTTCACTGGAGATGTTGATCCTTTCAAAAAAGAAAATAATATCATTACACCTTTATTAGTGACCTTTATGAATACCACTGTTTAAGAAAAGCCAATTCCTTTGTTTTCAAATGATGAAAAACCATATAGAATTGAATTAAGCAATGTTAATCTAGTTTTAAATACACTGGATTCTGTTGATGAAACACAAAAATTATAAGAATAACACGCAATTGTACTTGCAAGATGTTCAAGTTAATTTCTCATTGAGGGAAGTAATTGTGCTGATGAAAAAACAATAGATGAATATTTATCTAGATTTCATGGGTTTTTATTCATTAAAATTAAATTAAGTTAATTAAATCTAATAACAAAAGAATTAGAACAATTCAAAAAATTATTTTATACAAGCTTTGATGCTAAAAAGCCATAGTACTCTCAAATAATGTTGAAATAGTAATAATCAATAATCGATAATGGTATTTTATTTAATTCTTATGAAAATTTTAATTTTTTAAATAACTATGAATTGATTACTTAAGAGACAGATAAAACATACGTTACAAAAGTAATTAATGCAATGTCAAGTTTCAATTATAATTTTGATAGCTATGGATGTTATTTATTTAGGATTGATAATATTTCTATTGTTGAAGAAATTACCTATCCTAAATTAGGTGTTGTATTAGCATAAATTGGATCCATTATCTAACTAATATTTATGTTGAAACATGTAGTATTATACTATAATAATTAATTATCAGAAAATGAGTTATTAAATGAAATCATTACAATGTACTATCCAGAATTTAAATAATATTCTGTGAATTTCTTAAATCTATTTAAATTTGATAAATAAGATATAAATAATAAATTGTAACCAATAGAAAATTTAAAACAGCGGTATTAAATATTATAAAAAGGAGCAAGAGAAAAATGCAGATTAACAAATCTGCTTTATGAAATTTCAAGAATTTAATTTATTCTCTAAGATAAATTTGGAGATTAGATCTTATCATAAAGTCATTAAATGGGAGGGAAACTTTTGAACACATAAATAGAATTGCAAAGTTTAAAGGAATCAAATCGTTTATAAATTAAACCTATAGATTCTATTGATTTAGAAAACTAATGTTATGCTATAGAACCTTTAGAAATTTTGATAAAATAAACCTGATATATTTTGATATAAAAAAAATAATTATTATTATTTCGATTAATATTAGGTGTGAGACTTTCTAACATTATGGAAGAAGAGAACAAAAATTTCTTAATTAAATATATGAAGTTGGATTCTCTGCTTATTTTAATAAGAATCTTTACAATCCTAGATAGATATAATAATGATTTCAATATACAAAAGAATAAATTGATATGCAGCATCTTCCTGTTTATTAGTTGAGCAGTAATATTCGTAATTGTTAATAATCTCGGTCTCCTATTAATAATTGTAAATAACTTAGCATGATCTCCCCTACCTACTATATATTAGTATTTTTCCAAATTATCTAATTTAAGCAATTTGGTTTACTTTTCATTATTTAAAGCTAATGCTGAGAGATTAAATATATTATCTTGATACATCTTATTTTAAATTAAAATTGGGGAAATTCCTACCTAAAACTAAATAATATAAGATCTGATTATTGTATTAGAATCAAATCATAATCATTTTTATGAATGTCTTTTCAACCATAATAAGCGGCAGCTATTTACACTATGTGATATTATCATAATTAAGAAATAGTTATAATTATATATATAAATAAAATGGGAACCCCTTAGTCAAATTAGACATAACATTAAAATTAGATTCTTATTCAAGGTATCGCGAATCTTAATTGATTATTTGCAGATAATAACAACAGTCTTTGGAAGAATGGAACTTATTCCTTTAGTGGTAAATATCATTATTTGAATGCTTCTGGTCATAAATGGAAAAAATAAAGGTTTAAGTATATGATAGAATTTACTGCAGCTGGAGAGATGAAATATATTCATGATGGTGAAGTTCTTAGAGTGTATTATATAATTATTTACATTTTTAAGAGAAAATAGAATAGATAAGTAGAAAAGTCCAGAAATTTTGACTTAGTTAGAATAAATTAGAAATCTTAAATGGGTTGGATAGAATAACAATTAAAATTTGCCAATTGGAAAATGGAACATGATTTGGAGAGGGGAAAAATAGATTTATGGAGGATTATATAATGATAATGGTGAGAAAGAAGGATATTGGGTAGAACCTTATGATAAATATTGGAAGTAATAAAATTAATATGGTTTAAATCAGTTTATGCTAAATTTACGTTATTGGGATATACAATCAAGGTTTCAGATAAGGATAGTGGATCTATCAATAAGCTGAGAAAATTATGTAAATATAAAGTAATTTTTAAGAGGAGGAGGATTGTATAACAAAGAAGGATAGAAGGAAGGATTATGGATTGAATTACATTAAAATTATGATAGGTTGTTAATAGTTATTATTCAGAAATTGTTAAGTTATATTTTAAGGAGTATATTAGAATAATCACAAAATTGGAATTTGGATTTATTAATTTTATGATGCTAATAAAAATAATTCTATTAAAATGTATATATAACTTAATAGATTTTAATAGAATTGGTGGTAAATATATTGAAGATGGAATAAAACATGGAAAATGGATTGATTTAATAGAAGATTTTGATGAGTTTAATTATTCTCATAATTAGTGATTAATAATTTTTATATGTTGGTGACTATTATTATGGAAAAAAACAAGGAATTTGGAATGCAATGTAGATAAATTTTAGATAGTAATATTAAATAATGTTTTAAATATGTTTATTTCTAGAGGTTGTGGAGTTTATGATGAAAATGAATAAGAAAATGGATTTTGGGTATAATTAAAAAGAAATCAAATGAAGTATCAATCGTTTAATCATTTTTTAGTTATTACCATCATGTTAAGAGTCTTGGGCAATATGTCCATGGAATTAAGGTAGGCACTTGGAATATATCATTTGGAAACTAATTTGTGTATAAATTAAAATTAAGTTAAGTGGCAAAGGTGCTTATAATGAAGAGGGAAAAAAGTATGGGAAATGGATTCAATTATCCAATTATTCTTAATTTGATAAAATGAATTTGAATGACAATCCTATATTAGGTAAATTAGTTACTTTTGTTGGAGAATATACTAATGGTAAAAAGTCAGGATACTGGTAAATCAAATAAGGAAATATAATAATGTAAATTTTTAAAATAAATTTATAAGTGGAGGTGGTTTATACGATGATATGGGTTATAAAAATGGAAAATGGAATGAATTAAGCAACTTTAAATTGTATTATAATAAATATTCAAATAAGACCATTTTTTGTAATTTAAATAGGAGAATATAACAAAGGATTTAAATAAGGTAGATGGGAAATCTTATTAAACAAACACAAAGGTTTAGAAAAAATGTACATAATTAACTTTAATATTTAGTGGTGGGGGTATATATGATACTTAAGGGATGAAACATGGAAAATGGATTTCTTTACATGATAATTTTAATCAGTATAATAAATCAGTATTTTAGTAATTGTAAAGTCCTAGATGTTGGATAATATGATCATGGAATTAAATAAGGGAGATGGGATATAAAGACTATTAAATACTATGAGCATGATGTTCTCACATATAACTTTTGGCCTAAAGATACATTTTACAAAATGTCATATTTTATTTAATTGTATATTAGAGCTGGCGGTAATTACTAAAATGGAGAAAAAAATGGAAAATGGATTGACTTAGATGAAAATTATAATTATCATAATCAAATATTATATGAAGGAGAATTTTACAATGATTTAAAATAAGGAAAATGGGAAATGATGAAGCATCATAATTCATTTATAAAGAGAATGTAATTTAATTTAACATAATTAGAGGTGGTGGTTAATACAATTAAGATGGATTAAAACATCTGAATTGGATTGAATTGGATAAAAATAGATAAAAGAAACTAATACTTGTTGAATACTAAAATGGAATTAAAATAAGCATTGAAAACATGTAAACAGTCATTTGAAACAACAATAATTAGATTTTATTTATATTATCAATTTTTATAAAAAGCTTTTCTATGAATTTTGATAGAGGAAATTTAAATGGAATACTACTAGTAAATTAAATGGGATAGTTGTCTTATTTTATTTAAAAATAACATTAAGAAACAAATTTTTAAATAATAATAAAATTCATCTTAAAATAAAACTAATTAGAGTCCAAATAAAAATTACAACTTTTATTTTCATTTATGAAGATAAAATGTAGTTCTAAAATTATCATATACTAAAAAGAAATGATAATTTCTATCTAAATTTAAATATTTTTATCATATAATTGAGTTATCAAATTCATCCTGTTATATTAATTTTATGAAATAAAATCAAGTCTGTAGATTTAATAAATACTTCTATCGTGAACTATACCCTAATAGATACTTAGAATTATGCAGAGCAATAGCTATCAATCATGACAACACTCTGATTATTGCTGCAGCTGAATCAAACATCAAAGTCATTTAGATCATTTTACCACTTCTTTCATAATCAGAAGCCTATCCAGCTACAAGAACAACATAATCTATTAGATAAATTGAAATACTTAAAGGTAAACATTCGGATTTTGTGTCTTCTCTTATGTTTTTCAAAAAAACTCCATCAATGAGAAATTCATTTATCTCAGGTTCAGATGATAATACTATTATTATTTGGTCACCCCTTAATTCATTCGAATTTACAATACCATCTAAGTGGGAAGTATAATGTATACTAAAAGAACATACAAATAGTATCACATGTTTAGTTTTACTAACTTCATCAGAAGATCTTATTATTAGTGGGTCTTAAGATAAGAAGATAAAATTTTGGTCTCTTACATCAACTTAACCTTCTTTACCATGGAAATGTTTATAGACTATTGAAGAACATACATCTACAATTTTTGGATTATCAATTAATCAAGAAGGTACTAGATTACTCTCTTGTGCTAGTGATTTTTAAATATTAGTGATGGAAGGCTCTAATAAAACATAATGGAATATTAGATAAAGAATATCAGTAGATTAATGGGGATATAGATTATGTTTTATAAATAATCATGTTTTTACATTTTAACCTATAGAAACAGCTCCTCAATTATAGGGATCAGCTCATATTCATATTTATATTTATAATACTCAAAAAGAATAGTATTTAAAATCAAAAACAGTATTGGTTTAAGGTGGTGGGTAACCCTGCAGACCTTATTTTCCTTAATTATACCTTAATTCGATCAACCTATTATTATCTAAAAATGGTCATTATTTAAACTTTATTAGAATCAAATTCTCATCCTCCAAATCTGATTTGGAATGTAATTTAGAATAAGCGATCAACTTTGGTACAATGAATACTTATGGTACAATTAGTGATAATGGAGAATTCTTAGTAACATGGGATTAAAAATAAAATAATATCTAAATCTTAGTATAAGGAGGACAATAAGAAACTTGAATATTTACTCTTTTTATGATAGAATGATCAATAATTTTGTTTGTATTTTTTAATATTTTTTGAGGTATAAATAAGACATCATATATATATACACTTGATTGAAGGTGAAAATATCTGGATTATATTGTTTCTTTTACAAATTTGAATATTTAATCATATGTGTTACAAAATTCAAGGTACATAAACTTGCCGATTAAGATTTTATCATCTAAGTAAATCAATTATCATCTCATTTCATTAGTTAATTAATGTTGAGTTTTATTTTTATGTGTTTTATGATTATAATTGCATTAGTAACAATTATCTAATCAATAATATAACTTCTCAAAATAAAAAATTATGACTTAAATAGAGCAATAACTTCATTAAGTATTATTTAAAAAAAAAAATTGAAAAGTATAATGATATATCTAATTTTCCAATATTGATAATATTAATTATTTATAATTTTAAAGCATTCTTTTTAGTATCAATTACAATAAAGTATTATTTGAAGCTTAAAGTTCAATATTTTACAAACTTTTACTACCAACTTTCTTTTTAGTATTAAGAGTTTTCTAATTCTTATACTTTTACTGTTCTGCTCAATATCTCTTTAATCTTTTACTGATTGTTGCTCTCTTTAAATTTGGTGTTTTTAATCTTTTAAAAATTAATAGCTGTTTCAAGAAAATAACGATGATAATTGATAAAAGAAGACAGCTGAAAATAACATATACCAGAATATTTTTGATTAATTGATTTTTAATCAATATGAAGATTATTTAGAGCAATAAATTTTTTAATATAGGACAAAAATTAAAAGTAATTATTAGAAAGTGTTTAAGATTATTTAAATTTAATTCTTCTATTCAATCCTATTGATTTATTCAATATCTTAACAACAAAAAATCCATCCAAATAATCACTTTTACATCTATTATTTGGGTTTCAAATTTAGAATATATTTATTATTATTAAAAATTGGAATAAGCTAATGAAATTTCTTAGGAAGAACTAAAGTAATTCACATTTTAAGTATTTATTTCTAGCTATTTTAATTAATTTGACAATTAAATTTTGCGAAAAGTAAAATATTATTATATAGTTATTAATATATTAGACATTAATTTATAATGATTACTGAAAATAAATTGTTAATTTTATTTATTCTCATATTTTATTTTTTAGTTCCATATTAAGTCATGTTTTATCGTTTAAGAATTGATTCAGAACCTGAAAATTAAACATACAGTCTGATGTTAGTAAAAAATTGTAATTAATAAATAAATAATAATTATATTAATCAGCTGAATATGAAGTTAAGGTTGAAAAAAAGGAATTAGCATATTCTATGAATTACACCAGTCAAAGTAGTGTAAGAATAATCAATATTAAAAATTATTCATTGTACTAAATTATTATAAAATGTATATTAATTTTATCTGAATCATAAATATTTTTTGATCATCACACCAAACCGTTCTTAATTCAGCAAGGAATCATTTGGATTATGTTAAAATTGCTTCTTAACTACATAAAATAATGATATAATACAAATATAAAATTAATGTTCAATATGAAAAAATAACTTAAATGTTATCTAATATGATAGAGATTGATTATAAATTAAAAGTAATATAGAGATTATTTATTTAATTTATTACATATGATATAATTATTCTTTGTACCACTTCTACATAA